CACGAGAGATGGAGGTCTTCGATCAGATCTGGGTGAAAACCTGCTTATGGCTTTTGCCAAGGCCGGCGATGGCGACGTTGTCTGCGTCGTCCCCTTCCTGAAGGCATCGTCGTGGAGATGTTCAAGGCCACTCTCTGCTACCTCCGGGGGAAACCCTAGATTAGTAGATCGGATGGCGGCGGCTCTCTGGTGTCGTCTTCCCCCCTGGGGGCGTCATTCTTGGAGGTGCACACGGGCTCGAGGGACTAGAGGACGGCGACTTTGGTGGAGCGGTGCTTCATCTTTCACATTGATGATGGCGGATCTCGGCGGCATGGTGCTGTGGAGACTCGGCGTCTGATGCGCGGAGATGGACTCGTGCAGGAGGAGGAAGCTGTCTGGCGTCATGGGGACGTCGATGGCAGAGTGGCCAGACAAGGTAGAAGCCTCAATTTGATCTGAAGACGGACCTGTGGAAGATGGCGGCGACGACACACGAGTGCGTCTGACCGGATTGCGCCCCAGACCCAGTATGTGGCTCGGCTGGGGTTACCGAATGAGTTTCGGCTTCCGGCTTTTGATGTTAGGCTTAGGTGAGTGGTTTGGGTAGTGGCCCAGCTACCACCCTCTCATCATATTGGATAGGAGTAGCGGCACATGTTGCCAAGATGGTGGATTCAGACACATTGTTGTAATACTTTGTATGGTTCTCGAGAATAATCAATAAAGTGGCCGTATGCATCTCCCAGATGCAGAGGCCGGGGGTCATCCTCCTTTTCTAAAAAAAAAACTAGAGTCAAAAAACATCTTACAGTATGGGATGGAGGGAGTACTTTCAAATGCAAAAAATGTTTTGAGACATCAATGCATGATTCTAGTTGTTCCCATGGACTGTTGGTGTGGAAGCAGATTGAATGCCGAGAGGACAAAGTCAATGCAGGAGATCGTTTGTGGCTGCCCGGTGTGTACTTAAATCTGTTTTTTTTCGTTTGTTAGAGAATATAAAATAGTTGGAAATGTAATTGACAATGACTCGGTTTTGCAAAGCAGGGTAAGTCAGATGCAGAGAATAGAAGGTCGTGTAGATGCGATTGACCTGCATTAATACGGCTACTGTGGGCGGCTGACAATAGTTGGTATATAATAGAGCATCATGAGAATCACAGCCAAGCACATAGATGTGTACACGAATGATCTGATACAGCTAGATGAAGTGGCGCAGGATGATGGCGAGGTGAGCACTGTAAACTCAGAGCAGGCAACGTTCGCCTTTGGTTTTATGCGATTGCTCCATGGTGATAAGTGTTCCAGGGTGAAGTTGTCCTCATGGATGGCAAAGGCGGAACGAGCTGCAAGCAGGAAGTGGGCGTGGACTCAGGTTGCGGTTCTTTTGGAAGAAGGTTTCGGCGATTTCCCAACCTCCGGCATGCAGGTCGAATAAAGTGTTGCTATAACTGATGTGGAAAATGGATCCGGCCGTGTATGTGCCGATTGACTTTAGTGACACTTGCTCACACGAAGAGGGGGTCAGTAGCATCTCCTGTAAGCGTAGGCAAACAAAGAGTTGGTTTTGTTGACTGTCTATGTCGCTGTGTTTTTTCGGTCTCGCATGTAGAGCTTTGACTACTAGCGTAGTTACTGGGGTTTGCATTTTGGGAGCACTTGTTGAAGGCAGTAGTCTGATATGCGTGAGCCAGCTTTTTTGATTGTCGAAACCATTGGTGTTGTAATGTACGACCTTGTTGCCGGAGTGCATCTGTTAGTACATTTCTAGTCGTAGTTTTTTGGTCATGGCTGGTGTGAGGAGGTGCGTGCGTGTAAAAGATGCAAATCATGCCTCAGGAAATAGAAAATGGCATTCGTATTATTTCGTTAATGACAAATCATGCCTCATTGCCATGTGTAATACAGACGAGCCGGATGTGTGTCCCTTGCAGCAGCTAACCAACCAAGACGGCTCAGCCGGGTACAGGAAATCAACTGAGCCGTGCACGGGTCATCTGTTCCAGCTGAAGGTGACGGTGGCCGTAGCAATTAATGCACGCAGGAACAGGCCATATTTGAGTGCAATACAATGGCTATACCTGACGCAAATACAGTCACATGCACAGATCCAGATGGTAGCGAATGGTGCTGATTTCAGGTTCAGCTGAGCACGAGCTCAGAATGGAATATCCGTAGTGCAGATAGGCTTTTTTAGAGACCTTAGTCCGATGGAACAAATGGCCCTGGTCTCAGCGAAGGGAAAGGTGTCCTGAATGCTGGAATCCTCTGGTCGTTTTACGGTGAAATCTACTTACGCCAAACTGTCC